TGTTGGTCATGGCTGGTCTCGATTTCCGGACCTTGTGATCCACCTGCCTTGGCCTCCCAAAGTGCTGGGATTACAGGCGTGAGCCACTGCGCCAAGCCTCTTCTCAGGGGTTTTTAATGGAAGCCTCATGACTTCAGCATTCCTTCCCCCAGGGTTTAGGGCAGAACTCCCTCTAGGGAGGGTCTTAAGATTCACAATCAGAAAGATTGGGGAAGATTAGAGCCCTGCCTTAGGGCAGGTGAAAGGAGGGCAAGAGAAGGTCGAAGAGATTTCCTGAAGTCTGCCCCAGAGGCCTAACACACCCAATATTATAACAAAACACTATAGCCAGTGTGGTGATTTATGGCTGTAATCCCAGCACTTTGGCAGGCTGAGGTGTGAGAATCGCTTGGGGCCAGAAGTTCAAGACCAGAACAGGCAACACTGTGAGACTTTGTCTCTACAAAAAATTTTAACAGCACTTTGGTTGGCCGAGGTGGGAGGATCCCTTGAACCCAGACATTTTGAGACCAGACTAGGCAACATAGTGAGACCTCCCATTTCTACAAAAAAATACAAAAATTAGCCGGGTACTGTGGTGCATGCCTGTAGTTCCAGCTGCTCGGGAGGTTGAGGTGGGAAGATCACTTGCGCCCAGAAGGTTGAGGCAGCAGTGAGTCGTGATCATGCCACTGCACTTCTGCGTGGAGACGTAGTGAGATCCTGTCTCAAATAATAACAATAATAATTATTATTATTTTATTTTATTTTATTTTATTTTTTTGAGATGAAGTCTTGCTTTGTTGCCCAGGCTGGAGTACAGTGGTGTGATCTGGGCTCATTGCAAGCTCCGCCTCCTGGGTTCAAGCAATTCTCCTGCCTCAGCCTCCTGAGTAGCTGGGACTACAGGTGCCGGCCACCACGCCTGGCTAATTTTTTGTATTTTTAGTAGAGACAGGGTTTCACCGTGTTGGCCAGGTTGGTCTCAATTTCCTGACCTTGTGATCTGCCCGCCTCGGCCTCCCAAAGTTCCGGGATTACAGGCGTGAGCCACCGCACCTGGTCAATTTTTTTAAAACTTAAAAATTAGCCAGGTATGGTGGCACATGGCTGTAGTCCCAGCTACTCAGGAAGCTAAGGCAGGAGGACTGCTTAATATATTAGTCTGTTTTCATACTGCTATAAATAACTGCCTGACACTGGGTAATTTATAAAGGAAAGAGGTTTAATTGACTCACAATTCAACATGGCTGGGGAGGCCTCAAGAAACTTCAATTATGGCAGAAGATGAACGCAAGGCATTTTTTTTTTTTTTTGAGACAGTCTCTCTCTATTGCCCAGGCCGGAGCGCAGTGGCGTGATCTTGGCTCACTGCAACCTCCACCTCCTGGGTTCAAGTGATTCTCCTGCCTCACCCTCCCAAGTAGCTGAGACTGCAAGCGCACACCACCACACCCAGTTAATTTTTGTATTTTTAGTAGAGACAGGTTTCACCATGTTGACCAGGCTGGTCTCTTTTTGTTTGTTTGTTTGTTTGTTTGTTTTTTAGATAGAATCTCGTTCTGTTGCCCAGGCAAAAGCGCAGTGGCACTATCTTGGCTCACTGCAAGCTCCGCCTCCCGGGTTCACGTCGTTCTCCTGCCTCAGCCTCCCGAGTAGCTGGGACTGCAGGCGCCCGCTACTACGCCCAGCTAATTTTTTGTATTTTTTAGTAGAGACAGGGTTTTCACTGTGTTAGCCAGGATGGTCTCCATCTCCTGACCGCGTGATCCGCCCCCTCGGCCTCCCAGAGTGCTGGGTTTACAGGCGTGAGCCACCACGCCTGGCCAACCAGGCTGGTCTCAAACTCCTGACCTCAAGTGATCCACCTGTCTCATCCTCCTAAAGTGTTGGGATTACAGGCGTGAGCCACTGCACACAGCTGGCATCTTTTTCACAAAGCAGCAGTAAGGAGAAGTGCTGAGCAAAGGGGGAAGAGCCCCTTATATAACCATCAGATCTTGTGACAACTCACTCACTGTCATGAGAACAGCATGGGGGAAACCATTCCCATGATTCAGTCACCTTCACCTGGTCTCTCCCTTGACATATGGGGACTGCGGGAGTATGGAGATTATTAGGATTACAATTCAAGGTGAGATCTGGCTGGGGACACAAAGCCTAATCACATCACTTGAGCTGAGGAATCCAAGGCTGCAGTGAGCTATGATCGTGCGTGCCACTGCATTCCAGCCTGGGTGAGAGAGCAAGACCCTATCTCTAAGAAAATGAAATAAAAATAAATAAAATGAGGGTAATAAAAACGACTCTCCCCAGTGGTAGTGTTGGGACTAAATGAGATATCAAGAAAAAAAAATAGTATATTTAAAGCACTTAAGGGGCACACTGCCCTGCATACCAGTGGCTACTTGATATTTGGGAGCTGTTGCATTGGCGGTGCCCTGATTCAGTTAGTGGTGACAGTGAGTGTCTCTAGTGCTGCATTATGGGGCCCTGTCCTGACCAACAACATGGCTGGTGGAGTTGAAGTTGCAAGGGATGGATCTAAATTTAGAGTGAGAGAAAACAGTGAGCCATAGAACCAGCATTCACAACAATTTCGACAGGCTGGAATAAGCAAGATGACATTGTTCTGTTGTGAGCTTCAAGACATTACAGAAAGCAGAGGATGGGGGAGAGACCTGACTTGACCCCAGCTCCGGTGAAAAGGATCTGAATGATTTAGTTGACCACAACCTGATGGGAACTAATCATGGGAGAGAAAGGCTCTGAAGCCCAGCAGTCTTAGGCTGCATTAACAATGTGTCGCGTCCAGACTGGAAAAAATAATAGGCCTATTGTGCTGGCTTGGTCAGGCCATATCTGGAATCTTGCGTTGCTACACTGACAGACTGGAATCAGGCCAGGAGGGGGACCAGCCCAGTTTCAGCTCCCAGGCACTTGTGCTAAATTTTTCCTGTGCCATTTTCTTGTTTCATCCCCAAAACAAATCTATTAGGTAGCTACTATTAATTTTTAAAGACAGAGTCTTGCTCTGTCACCCAGGCTGGAGTGCAGTGGCACGATCTCAGCTCACTGCAACCTCCGCCTCCTGGGTTTCAGCGATTCTTCTGCCTCAGCCTCCTGAGTACCTGGGACTACAGGTGCGCCCCACCATACCCGGCTAATTTTTGTATTTTTAGTTGAGACAGGGTTTCACCATATTGGCCAGGCTGGTTTCGAACTCCTGATTTCGTGATCCGCCCACCTCAGCCTCCCAAAGTGCTGGGATTACAGGCGTGAGCCAGGGCGCCTGGCCAGTAGCTACTATTAATATCGCCATTTTACACAGGGAGGTTAACTGAGTTGTTCAGGGTCAGCTGCACAGCTAGTAAATGGAGACACTTAGGGCTTTTCCTGATGGGCTTCTGTGTGCTTGTACCTTAGCAGGGGAAGACTGAACATTCATTCAGTGAACATAATAATTCAGGCCCTAAGCTAGTTAGTGGGGATGCAGAAGTGAAAAAGATGTGGTTCCTACCTGAGGAGCTCATTGTCTACTGGGGGGATACAGATTACTTGTGATATGATGTGATTCTGTGGGAGAGAAGATTTGGGGGCTGGAAGAGATCGTAGAGTACACCTTAGCTAACCAAGCTTGGAGAGGGGAAAAGAGACAGAACAGTGTCACACAGCTTGGAGTCATGGGGCCAGCCATTCCCTTTCCACAGTATTCACTGCCTTACTTGGCTGTCTTCTGCTCAGCAATGGCCAAGAGCTGTGTGCCCAGATGGGATCTGCTGGCGTGTGAGGTAGCACGGTGTGACCATCCTGGGGCAGATATACCTTATCTCTGCTCCCTGCAATCAGATATTTAAAGAAAAGAAAAAAGAGGCTGACATTAAGGAGCACAGGAACCAAGTGGGTGGCCTTTGAGAGTTCCAGCAGCCCCTTCACTAATCAGAGAACTGGAAAGACTGGGGTGACATTGACATAAGGGACTCAGAGCTGGAATTAAAGATTGTTCTTTTCTGGCATCTGTGCCTGCCTTCTGTTCCAAACTAATGCCCTCCCACCTTCTTTTGAGGACCACATTTCTGGGCATTGTCTTTTTCAAAACTTTCCTGTTTCAACCCTCAGTGCCTCTGGAGTCTTGTAGGGCTTCTTGTTGGGGAGACACATACACCCCATTCAGCCTTCTGTAATTTATGCTAAGAGGGATAGAGCAGCTCTGTTGAGAGCAACTGCTTTGGAATCGGACAAAACCTTTCAGGCCTGGCTCTGCCACATAATAGTTGTTTCACTTCTCCATGTTTCCCTTTCCTGTGCTGTAAAATGGGGATAATAATAGTACCACCCTCACTTGGTGGTTTTTGAGGGCCGCAAGAGATCATATTAAGCATGGAGGAAGCTATCCATAAAAGGCCACTGTTGTCATAGTGTACTAGTGGGCGTAGCCCGGGCTTCTCTCCACGACTTGGGAGCTCCCTGCCGGCAGGGGGGCAGCCTCTGGATTGCTTCATCTTTCTCCCTATTGCCCGGATGCCAAGGGCAGGACGGGGGAATGGTGTGTCTTCGGGGATGAGAGAGAGGCGTTGGGAGGGAAAGTGTTAGTGTACATCCTCTAGACTTGAAGGAGAAGGAGACACTCCCTGACTCCAGGTTTTAAAGTGGGCTTCAGAGCCCCTAGCTTTCCTAGGCCTGGGGGTCAGAAGTCATGTGTGGTAGGCCTGACTCGGGGAGAGTCGGACTTTGGGGACCTCGGGGACCTCGGGCAGATCGGGGACCTCGGGCAGATCACTTCCAGCCTGGGGCCTCGGTTTCCTTACGCGTGTCTGGGAGGTCTCGCGGCCTGCTTCTCGATTGCTAGGAGCCAGCACAGGCAGATGCCGGTTCCGGGGCTTGGAGAACGTGGCTCGGTGGCACAGAGCCGCCGGCCGAGGCGGGGGGGTGGCGCGGGGGGGAAGGCGGGCGACGGGATTGGCTGGAGGCGGGGCAGCGGGGCTCGGGGATTGGCCGCACCCGAGAGGGCTGGGCAGAACTATAAGAGGCGCGGAGGGGGTGTGCAGCCGAGTGCGTGCCTCGCCTGCCAGCCGGCTTGGCTAGCGCGCGGCGACCGTGGCTAAGGCTGCTACGACGCGAGCTTGGGAGGAGAGGCGGCCTGCGGGTCAGAGGAGCATCCCGTCGACCCGGCCAGGCGGCGTGGCCCGCGGGTCATGGCCAAAGGAGAAGGCGCCGAGAGCGGCTCCGCGGCAGGGCTGCTGCCCACCAGCATCCTCCAAGCCACTGAACGCCCGGCCCAGGTGAAGGTGAGGGCCCGGCACCCCGCGTGGAGGGCGAGGGGAGCGAGTAGGCGGAAATGGGGGATCGGGAGCGTCGAGGGGTCAGTCTGGTTAGGGGACCCTTGGGATAGCCGGGGACAGGAAGCCTACGGGCCAGAGAGGACCTGGGGGTGCCAGGGGCAGGGGGTGACGGAGAAAAGCTGTGGGCGCCGTCGCCCCCCTTTGCTCACCCGCACTCCGCGCTCTGCGGAGAGGCTCTGCCGGCAGCCCCGTGTGAATCTGGCTCTGCCTAGCCGGTTTCCATTCTTCCGTGCTGAGCGGCTGGGGCTTGCCACCCCATACGCCAGAAATGACTCCAGATATCTGGGAAACTCCGTTTAGTTCCCCATCTCTCTCATCCCCTACCTTCCACCTCACCCACGTACGCTTGCGCCTCTACTCTGCGGTTAGGGCCGCTCAAGTTCATTCATAAGAACAAGAGCTCTGCTCTTAAAGGAGCCGCGTCCCTCAGGCATTTGTCTGAATGTAGATGTTCGCGCGGGAACGGTGCTTTTCGCATCGAGACCATCCACCCCATCCCCAGCCCTGGGGACTTATTGAAGGACCAAATAAAATGAGGTGGCCCCCTAGGAAGGGATCTCAGGCAATAGATACCTTTGTGGGAGGTGACTGCCTTTTCCTTTTAATTTTATTAACTGATCCTTGGAAGGAACTGGGTGAGCAATTATGCTGTTACTAGGTATGAGTAATATCTACTTTCCCTGGGCAACCCAACCTCCCTAGTGCCCCACCCGGAGAGGGCTCAGGCCTGGAGGCCTTTCCTCCGTCTCCAAGGTCCTCTAGGAGCTCGGGGATGGAGGTCGATGGGTCGGGAAGTTGGAGGGCAGGACGGTTCCTGGGTTGGCCTGAAGCTCTGGTTGCCTATAGTGGTCAGGGATGCTCTGGGATAGGTGGAACAGCTGTGCCTGCAGCTAGCTGGGCCGGGCCCCCACAGCTCTCTAGAGCGCTCACCAGGAGTAGGCAGGTGGATCTTGTCTCTGAGGCAGGGCGGGAGCCTGGGCTGGGCTCAGGCAGCTCTTGGCAGCAAGCGGATTTTCAGGTTGTGGCAGCTGGTGCCAGGTGGGGACAGGTCCGCTGCTGGAGCATGCTGCCCCTGCAACTTGGAAAGGAGCAGTGGCCGAGGCCTTGGGAGGAGTTCTTTAGGGATGGTGGGCTGATAAGTTTCCTTAGAATCTCCAGGAGGGAGGTGGCTTAGGGGCAACTTTCACACAAGTATGGATTCCCCTTTTCCAGGTTCCTAAGAATGGAGAACACCTTTCTCTTGCAGAAAGTGGGATCTCGGAGATCGAGACCATCCTGGCTAACACGGTGAAACCCCGTCTCTACAAAAAATACAAAAAATTAGCCAGGCGTGGTAGCAGGCACCTGTAGTTCTAGTTACTCCGGAGGCTGAGGCAGGAGAATGGCGTGAACCCGGGAGGTGGAGCTTGCAGTGAGTCGAGATCGTGCCACTGCACTCCAGCCTGGGCGACAGAGCAAGACCGCGTCTCAGAAAAAAAAAAAAGGTGGGATCTCCTGGGTAGGAACAGGTCAAAGTAGAGTTGTTTGTTCTGGTAGAGTTGGTCAGAGGGACGGTCCTTCCTGTGGAACCTTCTTGGATGGAGGCCAGGACCTGGGCCTTTCATCTTTTTCTCCTCTTCCCAGAAAGAACCGAAAAAGAAGAAACAACAGTTGTCTGTTTGCAGCAAACTTTGCTATGCACTTGGGGGAGCCCCCTACCAGGTGACAGGCTGTGCCCTGGGTTTCTTCCTTCAGATCTACCTATTGGATGTGGCTCAGGTGAGTGGTCTAAGCCTTCGAGGGCTCCTTCAGCATCCTGAGGTGGGAAAGACTATGCACCCCTGGGTCAGTTCGTTCAGTTTTCCCCATCTGTGAAATGGGACCTCAAATCCCTACTTTGCTGCCTCTCAGAGTCAGTGGGCAAGAAATGAGAAGACCCTGGAAGGTATCCACGAGGGGAGTCTCTCCACCCTAGGAGTCTTTGCTGGAAAGGGCTGGCAACTCCTCCTTGCCTGGCAAGAGCAACAGAGCCTGAAGGGGTAGGCGGTAGAATGAGGGAGAATGGGCCCTGCTGGGGATGCTGTTCTTAGAAGAGACTGGCACACTGTGTCCCTGGCTGGGAGGTAGTCAGCTGGCTTGGCTCAGGGGTTGGTGGCTGTTGCCAGGCTTGTGGACGAGATGCATCCCACCGTTACCTGAGGAGCAGAGGGGCGCTTAGATGCTAGGCTAATTTAGAATGCCCCAGTACACAGGGTCTTTGACTGGGAGGGGTACTTAGGGTGAAACAGGGCTATTCCGTGCATTGAGAAGCCTTGGCCAGAAGCCTGGCATCCTGAGAATTCACTCTGTCTGGATGGGAGAGTGGGAGGCAGAATAGCCATGGCTACCGGGGCTCCTGCACCGACTGTCTTCTATGTAGCATCTAACTTGGCAAGCATCAAGTCTTAGTTGTATCCATTTACAGACGGGGAACACTGAGCTCCAGAAAGAACAAAAAATTTCAGCAGCTAATTTTTGAGTAACTCCCAAGGGCTGGGCCTTGAGTAGGGTATAAATATGAGGAACCTGCAGTCAAAGTGTAAACCTGTTGTAGTGGGTGTTAGAGCTGGGGTTGGGGGGTCAGGCTGGGGAGACTATGGTATGGGGAAGAATACCCACTCCCCGGAGAAATAGCAATAGCAGGGCTTTGATGGATGAGGAGGAGTCTGGAGAGTCTGTATTTAGGGCCTGGGGGGTTTGGGGTAAGGGAGGGGGATAGCTTGAGTGGGTAGTGACAAGTCCCTTTTTAAAAAGCATCTATAGGCTTCTTTTTCCACATCCAAGATACAGCTTGAATCTGTAAGGCAGAGCTCATAACTCCCATTATACAGATGGGGACACTGAAGCACACTGTGTTCATCCCTCGAATGCTCATTCTGATACCAGGTGGTCAGGGGCTCAGGGCTGAGAGGGAGGGAAGGAAATGTTCGTGGATTCATTTGAGCTGATGGGAATGTTTTCAAGGGCAGTGGAGGGAAGCAATCAAGGGGACAGATGTGGGAAAGCTTCTATAGAGGCACCCAGTGCTACTGTTACTGGAGAAATGCTATTGTCGTTATTAACAAGGCAAATGAAGATGTGTAAGGTCCACGTAGGAGCAGCTCAGGGTCACAAGATCCTGGCTGAGATAGGGAAGGAGCCTCCGCTTCCGCCTACCAGTGAGAGTTGAGGTGAGTAGAAGGACGAGGAAGTTGTCTTTTGCTTCTCCCCATTCCAGGTGGGCCCTTTTTCTGCCTCCATCATCCTGTTTGTGGGCCGAGCCTGGGATGCCATCACAGACCCCCTGGTGGGCTTCTGCATCAGCAAATCCTCCTGGACCTGCCTGGGTCGCCTTATGCCTTGGTGAGTAGAAGATGTTCCTTTGAGGTGGCACAAGACAGGACTTCCAGCATATCCTCTCCTTGTTCCTTCTCTCTGTCTTGTCACAGGCTGGGGGGTGAGGAGAAGGAGTTAAAAGTCCAAGGGTGTCGAAACCCCATCCGAGGCATCAGCTACCCTGAGCATGGACACTGGCATGCTCAGCCAGTCCATTTCCAGGCCAGCCAAAGTGCTAGGCTGGGCAGCTCAGGCCTCATTCCTTCCCAGGGTCCACTCATTCCCCTTGGTGAAGCTGGAATTCTGAATTCTCCCACTCTATCACTTCCCACAGTGGCCGAGGTAGTACTTCAGAGTGGTTAAGCAGTTGTACTCTGGAGCCAGCCTGCCTGGGCTTATTTTATTTTCTGTCTTTCTTTCTCTCTTTCTCTCTCTCTCTCTCTTTCTCTCTTTCTCTCTTTCTGTTTTTCTTGAGACAGGATCTCCCTCTGTCACCTAGGCTGGAGTGCAGTGGTGTGATCATAACTCACTGTAGCCTAGAGCTCCTGGGCTCAAGTGATCCTCCCACCTCAGCCTCTCGAGTAGCTGGGACTACAGGCATGTGCCACTACACCTGGTTAATCTTTTAAAATATTATTTGTAAAGACAGCGTCCCACTATGTTGCCTAGGCTGGGCTTGCATTCCTGGGCTCAAGGTGTCCTCCCACCTCAGCCTCCCAAAGTGTTAGGATTACAGGTATGAGCCACTATGCCCGGCCCCTGCCTGGCTTTAAATCCCAATTTCCCTACTTAGAGCTGAGCCACTTCCCATCTCTGAGTACCAAGTTTCTTCATCTATAAAATGGGGATATTAATTATGTCTATTTCACAGAGTTGTGCTGAATCATTATTATGATTATTATTGACATTCTTAGAACAGTGCCTGGCTTAATTCTACTTCATAAGGTTGATGTAATTTTGAGACTTAAATAAGTTGATATTAAAATACCAAGCAGTGCTTGGGACACTAAGCGCTATGATGACCACATCAGGGATGCTCAACAGGAGAGCTGGCATGTGGTCCCTAGTATAGGCCACACCAGGCGAACTGCGGAATCCTGGGCTGGGAGTTAGACTCCAGGCCCAGCCTGCTGCATCTCTGCCTCCCTGTGGAACCGTCCAACAGCACAGTGATATATAATTTGGCCTCCTTCAGGGTGGCTCCTGGCAGAGCAGGGGATGGGGTAATACCTGGAATGGGGTAGCAAACCCATAACCTTTGGCACCTTGGATGACGTAAATTACCTTTTCCCTTGGTACAAAGCCTGTGCTACTCAGTTTCAGGCTGTGGGGCAAAGTAGGGGGAGGTGGTGCCATGGATCAGACGGCAGGGGAGCCGTACAGGACAGGCTGTCAGGCGGGGACTCTGGTTCCCTCCAGGACATCCTGCTTCAGGGCGTGGGGGGGCATACCCCTTTCATCTCCAGCCCATCCAGGCTTAAGTGGGCGCCTTCCTGCCCCAGGGGCGCCCATACCTGGCCTCCGGCCTTCAAAGCTCTTCCCGCAACCCCTTCCCCCACTACAGCTTCCTTTCCCACGAGGCCCCCCACCCACCCCAATCCTGCCAGTCCCTGGCTAAGGCCCAGGTTGGAGCCTTTGATCCAGTCTTCAGGGCCGGGGGCAGGACAGCCTGCCTTACCTGTGCGGGCTGCTCAGGGCTCCCCCGGCGCCAGCCCAGGAGACTTGGCCCTGTGCCCGCCTCCCTGGCAGCCAGTAGAAGGCGAGGCTCTACTGCCACATCGCCTCATGAGGCCCAGCCAATGGGAGGCGGCTACTCCCAGGCATGGTGGCTGAAGGCTGGGTTACTCCCAGTCACACTGGGTTCCTCAGCAGCAGCTGCTCAGCTGCCTATAAGCAGAGGATGGAGTGTTTGACAAAGGCTGATGACGAGCTCTTGTTCCCTGAGGAGACAGATTCAGGAGAGGTGGAGGTGGGCAGGCCCTCCCTGTGGCGTGTAGGAACTGAGCGACTCTTGCTGGGCAGGTGTGGCAGCCAGCTTGGGGAAGTTGCTGGGGGCCCTTCAGGCCGGTTTCCGATCTAGCAGCTACCTTTGTGCGTGTGCTTCTGTGTCTGGTGGTGCCTGTGTATGCGTGCACGTGGGATGGCTTGTGGGCTGAAGGCTGGTGTGCAAACTTTTTTTCCTTTTTGTGGAGAATGGGGTCTGGCTATGTTGCTCAGGCTAGTCTCAAACTTCTGGGCTCAAGCTATTCTCCTGTCTCTGCCTCCCTAAGTGCTGGGATTAAAGGCAGGAGCCACGATGCCTGGCCAGACCTCCCCATCCATACCACCTGACCCCTTCTCAGGCCAGGCCTGGAGACCTGGAACCCCCTTTCCTTTCAGTATAGGAAGAAACTGGGTCTGTCAGGGTTTGTGAGCCATGTAGCCCTCTCTCCTTCTGGGCCTCAGGGCAGCCCCTGTTCTGAGTCTACATTTAAATCCTCTTCTTGAAACCAGGAAGACTTTTCTTTTCCCTTTCTTTTTTCGAGTTGGAGTCTCGCTCTGTCGCCCAGGCTGGAGTGCAGTGGTGCGATCTCAGCTCACTGCAAGCTCCGCCTCGCGGGTTCACGCCATTCTCCTGCCTCAGCCTCCCGAGTAGCTGGGACTACAGGTACCCACCACCATGTCTGGCTAATTTTTTTACTTTTAATAGAGACGGGGTTTCACCGTGTTAGCCAGGATGGTCTTGATCTCCTGACCTCGTGATCTGCCTGCCTTGGCCTCCCAAAGTGCTGGGATTACAGGCGTGAGCCACTGTGCCCGGCCCTTTTCCTTTTTTTTTTAATTAAAACACACACACATGTATAGAGATGGGGTCTTGCTATGTTGCCCAGGCTGGTCTTAAACTCCCAGCCTCAAGCAATATTCCTGCCTCGGCCTCCTGAAGCGCTGGGATTACAGGTGTGAGCCACCATTCCTGGCCAAATCAGAAAGACTTTGACAGTCACTTTCTCTGGAGTTCTCAAGGCCACTGTGTGAGAGACTAGGTGTCAAGCAACAGCTGGGCCTGAGGTCTCCTCCCCAGCCCAGGGCTTTCCGCAGCTCCCCGGGTGTGGCCTGCATTAGTTACGCATGCCAACTCTCCTGCTGGGCTTCCCTGATGTGATCATTATAGCACTTAGTGTCCCAAACACTGTTTGACATTTTAGTATCAACCAAGTCTCAAAGTTACTTCCATCCTGTGAACTAAAGCCAAGGCACCTACAATGGCCTTTCAGGAGTTCCATTTCCACTCCCGCCTCATCTCCTAATTCTATCTCCCCGTTCTCTTCACTCCAGCCCTCCTGGCCTTGCTCTTCCTCAGACCTGCTGATACGTACCTATCCGAAGGCCTTTGCACTGACTATTCCCTTTGCCTGGCCCACTCTTGCCTCAGATGTCTAAAAGGCCAATTCCCTCCTCTCATTCTGGCCTTGGCATGGATGCCAACTTCTCAGTAAGGCCTGCCCTGTCCATCCAGTTGTGAACTGCATCCTTACTCTAAGCCCCTGGAGCCAGCTTTATTTCTTTTCTTCATAGCACTCATCTCCCAACACGTTATATAACACTTTTGTAAAACTATGATAAAGTATATGTAACATAAAATTTACCATAACCTTAAAAACATGTTTACGAGACAGAGTCTTGCTATGTTGCACAGGCTGGACTCAAACTCCTGGGGAAAAGCAATCCTCTCGCCTCAGTTTCCCAAGTAGCTGGGACAACGGGCATGTGCCACTGCCATTATAGCCATTTTAAGTGTATAGTTCAGTGGCATTAAGTACATTCATTTCGGTTTTTTGTTTTTGTTTTTGGTACAGCGGGGATACTAACCTGTCGGTTCTCTAATATTTCTTTTTTGGGCAGTGCAGTTTTAACATTCCACATTAAGGATGCAATGATCAAGGAGTTTGTTTGTTTGAGATAGGGCCTCACTCTGTCACCAGGCTGGAGTGCAGTGGTGCGATCTTGGCTCACTGTAACCTCCGCCTCCCAGGTTCAGGTGATTCTCCTGCTTCAGCCTCCTGAGGAGCTGGGACTACAGGTGTGTGCCACCACGCCCAGCTAATTTTTAGTATTTTTAGTAGAGACGGGGGTTTCGCCATGTTGGGCAGGCTGGTCTCGAACTCCTGACCTCAGGTGATCCACTCGCCTTGGTCTCCCAAAGTGCTGAGATTACAGGCGTGAGCCACTGCACCCAGCCTAAGTACATTCACTTTGTGACCACCATCCATCCATTACATCCTTCCAAAGTGAATCTCTGTACCTATTAGACACTAACTCCCCACTCCCCTCTCCCTACATCCCCTAGCAACCACTCTTCAACTTTCTTCATGAATTTGACCACTCTAGGTACCTCATGAGTGAAATTATACAATATTTATCTTTTTGCGTCTGGCTGATTTTCCTTGGCTTAATGTCCTCAAGGTTCATCTATGTTGTAGTGTGTGTCAGAATTTTATTCCTTATGAAGGTTGAATGATATATATAACTTTTAAATTATGTCAAATTTCTGTTTGCCAACTAGTATGTAAGTTCCACAAGGGCAATGATTTTATATCTGTTCTCTGGTTATCCTAAGTAATTAGAATAGCGCCCAGCCCATAGTTGGAACTTCTGAGGAAATGAGGCAAGCTTCAGATAATTTAAATAACTCCCAAGACTGAGTTTTATAGTCAGTTGGTGGAGCTAGAATGGAATCCCTGAAGAGTGGCTCAAAGGCCTTTCTCTTTACCATGGCCTGTGCTGCCTTGCTATACTGATGCCATGAAGTTAGTCCATCCAGCGGTCTAACCCCTTGTGATGGTGTGGAACTCACACAGGGAAGACAGACGTTTGCCCACCTAGGACTTCAGTTCTCCTTTGCTTGGAGCTGGCCTCTCCCCATCATGCCAGCTTCCCTGTGTGTGTGTGTGTGTGTGTGTGTGTGTGTGAATGGGTATGTGTGTGAATGGGGTATGTGTGTGAATGTGGGATGTGTGTGTGAATGGGGTACGTGTGTGTGAATGGGTGTGTGTGTGAATGTGGGGTGTGTGTGAATGTGGGGTGTGTGTGAATGGGGGTGTATGTGAATGGAGGTATGTGTGAATGGGGTGTGTGTGAGAATGGGATGTGTGTGTGAATGGGGTGTGTGTGTGTGAATGTGGGGTGTGTGTGTGAATGATGGGTGTGTGTGAATGGGGTGTGTGTGTGAATGGGTGTGTGTGTGAATGGGTTATGTGTGTGAATGTGGGATGTGTGTGTGAATGGGGTGTGTGTGAATGGGTGTGTGTGAATGTGGGGTGTGTGTGAATGAATGGGGTGTGTGTGAATGGGTGTGTGTGAATGTGGGGTGTGTGTGAATGAGGGTGTGTGTGAATGTGGGGTGTGTGCGAATGGGGTGTGTGTGTGAATGTGGGGTGTGTGTGTGAATGGGGGTGTGTGTTTGAATGATGGGTGTGTGTGAATGGGGTGTGTGTGAGAGAATGGGGTATGGGTGTGTGTGAATGGGGTGTGTGTGTGAATGTGGGGTGTGTGTGTGAATGGGGGTGTGTGTTTGAATGATGGGTGTGTGTGAATGGGGTGTGTGTGAATGGGGTGTGTGTGTGAATGGGGTGTATGTGTGCGGTTGATGAGTATCTGTGTGAGAACACGGGGGATGGGGCTGTTCCTTCTCTCTGCCTCCTTGCCCAGCCACCTGAGGTCTTGGACTCCCGTTCTACCTCTCTCAGCCCATTAGAGGCTGGTGCCTCTGGAGTAGACTCAGGGTCTGACCTCACACTCCATGCCTAGGATTTTGGTCTGGGGGCCCAAGTTACCATCTGCCATTCTAGACTTGGCCATCAGCGTCTTCCCAGAGGCCCAGGATGGGTGGATGGCAGGAGTATGGGGAAGGAAGGAAGAGCACCTTCCTTCCCTGTGGGGACCCTGTGAGGCACAGCAGTCTGGGCTGGCCCTGGCTCCTGGGCTCCAGCCTCCAGCCTCCAGCCTCTAGCCTCACTCACACCCTCCTCTTCCTCAGGATCATCTTCTCCACGCCCCTGGCCGTCATCTCCTACTTCCTCATCTGGTTCGTGCCCGACTTCCCACACGGCCAGACCTATTGGTACCTGCTTTTCTATTGCCTCTTTGAGACGATGGTCACGGTGAGTGTGGGTACCTCCTCTGGGTGTCTCTGGGGGCCAGGAGGAGGGCGGTACTTGGGGCCCCCAGGGTTGGTACCGGAAGCTACATCGGTGTGTCCACCTGCCTGACTGCCAATGGCCTGTCTTCCACGCCAGTGTTTCCATGTTCCCTACTCGGCTCTCACCATGTTCATCAGCACCGAGCAGACTGAGCGGGATTCTGCCACCGCCTATCGTGAGTCTCCCCAGCCCACCTGACCCCACCCTCCAGGGACCCTCCAGCCACACTTCTTCCCTTGCGGGTCCAGCTCTTTGCTCTGCTCTAGAGTGTGGGTGTGAAACCATCTTAAAAACAACTCAATCCGCTTATTGCTCAGATGAGACCTGGAGAGGTGCATATGCGTTCGGACCAAGATGTCACCTACCCCACTACCTCTACCCACCCTGCCTGGAGCTACAGCTAGGCTCCCCCCATTTGACCTTCCTCCCTGGGCCCACAACCCATGAGGACCCTCCGAAACACCTCCTTTTCTCCTGCCAGGGATGACTGTGGAAGTGCTGGGCACAGTGCTGGGCACGGCGATCCAGGGGCAAATCGTGGGCCAAGCAGACACGCCTTGTTTCCAGGACCTCAATGGCTCTACAGTGGCTTCACAAAGTGCCAACCATACACATGGCACCACCTCACACAGAGAAACGGTGAGGCCCTGGGCAGGGCAGGGATTTGGGGAGATAAGGAGCAATGAGGTGGTTTGTAGTCATGCTAAAGATAGTAACAGCTAGTGTTTATTAAGTAAATGTTGAGCATTTGATATACATAACAATTGATAGACCCAATATACCTACTTTGCAGAACAGGAAACTGAAGCTTAGAGAGGCTGAATAAGTTGCCCAGAGTCATAAAGTTGGTGAATTGCAGAGATTTGGGAAGATTTGAATTCTGGGCTGTCAGACTCCGCAGCCTGGTTTCTTTTTTATTATTATTTGTAGAGTTGCCCAGGCTGGTCTCAAACTCCTGGGATTATAGGTGTGAGGGCCGCACTCCACCAGCCTGGTTTCTGAGCATGTTGTGAATCCTAACTGTCCAGTCTTGGGAAGGAACAGCAGGCCTGGGGTGATCCTCCCGTTTCACACATGGAGACAGGAGGCTCCCAGAGGGGAGGGGACTGGCTACTGGCCCAAGATCACTGAATGGGGCTGCTGGAACTGGGGTGCTGGGATGAGCTCAAACTGACCGTCCTTGTATGTCGCCTTCATCTCCTTATAGCAAAAGGCATACCTGCTGGCAGCGGGGGTTATTGTCTGTATCTATGTAATCTGTGCTGTCATCCTGACCCTGGGCGTGCGGGAGCAGAGAGGTAAGGGGGTGCCTGGGAAGGGGTGCAGGCCTCAGCGTGGACAACTGTGTCTTTCTGCCTGGCCCTCAGGCTTTTGGGAGGGGCCTCTGCTCCTTCCTCACTGTCCCCTCTGGCCCCTAGAACCCTATGAAGCCCAGCAGGCTGAGCCGATCGCCTACTTCCAGGGCCTACGACTGGTCATGAGCCATGGCCCATACGTCAAGCTTATTACCGGCTTCCTCTTCACCTCCTTGGCTTTCATGGTGAGTGGGGGTCTGACGTGCTTAGCCTGAGAAGGGGTTGTAATGGGAATGGGGTGAGCAGAGGTCTCCGGAGCATGGGGGATGTCTTGGGGAGGCTCAGCCCCAACATCACCTCCTTCCTTGCATTTCCTTCCCTACCTTTCCCCATGCCCAGCTGGTGGAGGGGAACTTTGTCTTGTTTTGCACCTACACCTTGGGCTTCCGCAATGAATTCCAGAATCTACTCCTGGCCATCATGGTGAGTGTGGGACCTGAACAAGGGCAGGCAGCCTGGGCTGAAGTGACATAGGCTGTGGAATGGTTCTTGGAATAGGCAGAAGATGTTTCTTAGGCTGGCCCAAGGTCATGAAAGGATGAGGGAGGCTTCTCAGGATATTTGGTTGGACCTTGCATAGGTAGGACTGTGAAATAAAGAGTTTAAGGTTAGATGTTTGAATAGCGAGCACAGCAAAAGCAAGGGTGAGGACACCAGGAACTTGGCTCAGAGGTTTGAGAGGGCAGCAGACGAGGTAGGCCTGGACCAGCTCTGAGCTCCCCTGGGGAGCCATCGAAGGTGCCTGTCATCTTGTTGCTGCCCATATGATGTCATCTGGCTGCTCTTGGGCAGGGCCGGGAGCCCCTTTGGGGTTCTGGGAAGGGCAGGAAGGGCTCTGTGGCTCTAAAGCACCTCCCTTTAACCCTCTTTGTCTGCCCACAGCTCTCAGCCACTTTCACCATTCCCATCTGGCAGTGGTTCCTGACCCGGTTTGGCAAGAAGACAGCTGTATATATTGGGATCTCAGTGAGTGGGGTTGAAGAGCAGAGCCTGGGTTGAGTTGGGGATGTCTGGGGGGAACCTCCCAGCTGAGTCATCTTCCTGCACCCCCTTCCCTAGTCAGCAGTGCCATTTCTCGTCTTGGTGGCCCTCATGGAGAGTAACCTCATCATCACATATGTGGTAGCTGTGGCAGCTGGCATCAGTGTGGCAGCTGCCTTCTTACTACCTTGGTAGGTATATACAGGCCCCCTCCTCAGTTATCTCCAGCCCCTAGTCCCCAGTTTTGAAGCTCCTTGGGGAGAGTTCTATGGCGTGTTCTCCCACAGGCCATTCTGTGGGTCCAGGTTAGGAGTGAGGGAGGTCTGTCCTGTACAGTTGTACAGGTAGTGAGCTTTGCAAGAACACCTAGTCAGAGTGAAAAATGGGGGCTATAATCTGGCAGGCACTCCACTTGCCAGGCTGAGCACCTCCAGGCGGGGCTACTTCCTCTTAGAGCAAGAGGCCTTTTCTTATTTATGTGAAGGTGCGATCTCCTCACTGAGCTGTGTAGCCATGGTACTGAAGCTTCCAGAGGGCCACCTCTTCTCATTAACACAGAGGCTCGTTAGGTGGGTTGGTCCTCACGGCTGTCACTGCTCTGCGCAGGTCCATGCTGCCTGACGTCATTGATGACTTCCATCTGAAGCAGCCTCACTTCCACGGAACCGAGCCCATCTTCTTCTCCTTCTATGTCTTCTTCACCAAGTTTGCCTCTGGAGTGTCACTGGGCATTTCCACCCTCAGTCTGGAGTGAGTGGGGGGTGGGGACCTGGGGCGGGACTGGACGGGGCCAGGCCCCAGGTGCCCCATCTTCACCGTTCTCCTGCCCCCTGGGTCCCATAGCTTTGCAGGGTACCAGACCCGTGGCTGCTCGCAGCCGGAACGTGTCAAGTTTACACTGAACATGCTCGTGACCATGGCTCCCATAGTTCTCATCCTGCTGGGCCTGCTGCTCTTCAAACTGTACCCCATAGATGAGGAGAGGCGGCGGCAGAATAAGAAGGCCCTGCAGGCACTGAGGTGAGTGGGAAGGGGACGGGATGCTGGAGGAGGGGACATGGTTGCCTCTAAACCCTCAATTTGTGTCTCCTGTGGCCAAGTCCAGACTCACCCCCCACACATCTTCTCTGGACAGCTCTAACACTTAAGTAAGCACCAGGCACTGTGTTAAGTGGTCTTACCCTTATCCAACAAATGCATACTGGCTGCCTACTATGTGCTAGGCATTGATTGCTCTAGTGAACAAGACAAAAATCTCTGCCCTTAAGGAGCTTGTTATAGGACACGTGCATCCATGACCTCCCATATCCCTCCAACAACCCTAAATATCAGGTTCTTAGGGTTCCCCCTCTGCAGGTGAAGAAGCTGAGGTTTCAGCAGGAAGAGTGGCTGACCCAGCTGAAAGGGGCGGAGATGGGGTTTGAGCCTCAGCATTCCGACTCCAGAGACTGCACTCTTCATCAGCCTCCTGGCACATAGGACCTCGAGTGTGGCCTGAACCCTGCCTCTGGGGAAACCAGAGGGCAGGGTGGAGGGAGTCATGCCAGCCCGTCAACCAGCCCAGGCGAGAGTATAGTTCTGGGGTTTGCAGTACCCTGTGTGCAGCAAGGACAGTAAACAGACCAACCAACAGTTGAAAGTGGGAGTGAGCAAACTGTCCTGTGGTTCACTTTAGTCCAACAGTAGGGCCAAGATCACGTGAGGAAGGAAGCAAGCAGGTGGGGCTGGGGAGGGGTAAGGATGGATGCTTCCTCCAACCCATCTCCTCTGGCTCTTGCAGGGACGAGGCCAGCAGCTCTGGCTGCTCAGAAACAGACTCCACAGAGCTGGCTAGCATCCTCTAGGGCTCGCCACGTTGCCCGAAGCCACAATGCGGAAGGTCACAGGAGGGATCAGGACCTGTCTGCCGGCTTGCTCAGCAGCTGGACTGCAGGTGCTAGGAAGGGAACTGAAGACTCAAGGAGGCGGCCCAGGACCCTTGCTGTGCTCACCGTGGGGCCGGCTGCTCTGTGGCCTCCTGCCTCCCCTCTGCCCGCCCGCCCGTGAGGCAAAGCCCTGGGGCTGCCACTGTGAATATGCCAAGGACTGATCGGGCCTAGCCCGGAACACTAATGTAGAAACCTTTTTTTACAGAGCCTAATTAATAACTTAATGACTGTGTACATAGCAATGTGTGTGTATGTATATGTCTGTGAGCTATTAATGTTATTAATTTTCATAAAAGCTGGAAAACGGCTGCCTGTTTCTGTCTGTGTCCTCAGCCACTCACTGAGCCCTTCTGCCTTAAGACTCTGTTAGAGAACACACGGAGCCCCAGGTGCTACTGGGTGGGGGCAAACATGTCTGAAGTTGTGGCTGAAGCACAGTGGCGCAATTTCGGCTCAGGCAATCCTTCTTTCTGCTTCACCCTCCTGAGTAGCTGGGACTGCAGGCATGCACCACCACGCCTGGCTGATTTTTAGATTTTTTTCTAGAGATGGAGGTCTCACTATATTGCCCAGGCCAGTCCTTCCCACTGGACTCAAGCAATCCTCCTGCATTCGCCTCCCAAAGTAGTGGGATTACAGGGGTGAGTCACTGCACCTGGCCTCTTGCTAAGAACACCCTAGTGTAGAGAGGGATTTAGCTAAAGTCACACAGCCTTGAGTGACCTAACTGGAATTTTATCCCAACTCTATAAAGACTCCAATACCGTAATCACCACCGTCTACTTCCCTGTGTCTGAGAATGACCAGGGAATCGGCAGGCAGACGCTTGCTCTGGGTGTGCCTGTACACTGTGCTTCCTGCCTGGTGCATGCCTGAGCCTGCAGGGCTGGCAGGGCTGGAGGCCTGTGGGGTCCCTGGAGACCTGTGGTTCTTTCTCCACAACTGTTACTGATGGTATACAAAGGTGAGAATGTACCTGCTGGATGTGTGTATCAGATGAGGGAGGATTCGACCACAGAGGCACTGGTGACAAAAAACAAACACCTCCAGTGGGAAACAGGGTGGTGGGGAAGGCCTAGTTGGGAACGCCTGGCTGACGTCCATGGTATGAATAACTCCTACCATAGCCAATTTCAAGTTACCCATGGTTGTTCTACTTTGAACATTCCCTAAACATTTAGCGGTTGGCTCTTCCAAGCCGGTAGGAGCTTGCCTAACACACCACTGGGTCTCACACTTAGGCCAAGCCCCCAAAATCACAAGAAGGCAAAGTTGGCAGGATTAGGAGCTACCTGTCAAATCTCCTGATTTTACTACTAGATAAATGAGGCCCAGACAAGAGAAGCTCTTAGGCTCTTCAGGCTTTGGTTCTTACCTTGAGTGTGGGGCTCCATTTTGAGTGGGAGGCGGGTCCTCCATTTTTACTGATGAAGTTCTGCCAGGTTACTTTGATAAGTTACATTAAGCATTACTAACAGGCATGGTTGCATGTGCGTAATAAGTTTGAATTCAGTTAGTCTTCAGATAGTTGTCAGAACTTCCCTATGAGGAAGGTATTATTGTCATCCTCATGTTAGAGATAAGGAAACTGACGCAGGGAAAAGTTAAGTAACCTGCTCAAGGTCATTGGACAGTCACTGGAAGAGCTGATACTTGAATTGAGGTTGGCTATAGTGCCTGTGCTCTTAACCACCACTTAAGGCTGTTAGGTGACCCAGCGGTTTTGTCAACACCAAGGCAAGTCCCACACTGTCTTTCCATCAGCCATCTCATGTCAGGCTGTCTGGGCAAAGCAGGAGCCTAGGGTCTGGTCTGGCCTCTGGAGCTAGCCTGCTCAGAGACTCTGAGATAATGTTTATAGAAGCCCACTTATACCTTCTCTCTCCCTCCACTCTAACCAGTAACCACCAAGTCCTGTCTTTTAAAAAAGTTAAAGTTTTCGGCCAGGCGCAGTGGCTCATGCCTGTAATCCCAGCACCTCGGGAGGCCGAGGCAGGCAGATCACCTGAGGTCAGGAGTTCAAGACCAGCCTGGCCAACATGGTGAAACCCCATCTCTACTAAAAATACAAAAATTAGCCAGGCGTGGTGGCGCATGCCTATAATCCCAGCTACTCGGGAGGCAGAGGCAGGAGAATCGCTTGAACCCGGGAGGCAGCAGTTGCAGTGAGCTGAGATTGCGCCACTGCATTCCAACCTGGGGGACAGAGAGAACCCGTCTCAAAAAAATTAAAAAAACAAAAAAACAAAAACCAAACAAACAAACAAAAACAAAAACTATCCGGGCATGGTGGCACATGCCTATAATCCCAGCTACTTGGGAGGCTGAGGGCAGGAGAATGGCTTGAACCTGGGAGGCGGAGGTTGTAAAGAGCCGAGACCATGCCATTGCACTCCAGCCTGGGCAACAGAGCAAGACTCTGCCTCAAAAAAAAAAAAAAAAAAGTTTTCCAAAACCACTCAAGCTTGTTTCTTTCCTGTCCCTACAATTACTTCTCAGGCATTATGCTTTCTTACCTGGGTGAATAGACCAGCATCCTGTCTGGTCTCCTTGACTTTAATTTGATCTCCTCACTTTCTTTCTGCAAACTGTCCAAGATAACTCAGTAGCTCTCCTGTTTAGAAACATTTCTATAAGCTGGATGTAATGGCTCTGCCTGTAATCCCAGCTACTGGGGAGACTGAAGTGTGAGGATTACGAGGCCAGGAGTTCAAGACCAGCCTGGGCAACATAGTGAGACCCCGACTCTATAAAAGAAAAAACAATTAGCCAGGTGTGGTGGCTTGCAACTTGTACTTCTAGCTACCCAGGCAGCTGAAGCAGGAGGATCTCTTGCCAGGAATCTGAGGCTGCAGTGACCTATGATTGTGCTACTGCACTCCAACCTGGGGAACGGAGGAAGACCCTGTCTCAAACAAAACAAAAAGTTTCCTAGAAATCCTGTGAGTTCCTGTCTGAGACCCCTACTGACCTTCCCACACCCAGATCTAGACGCAGCTCTTTTTGCAGGCCACCTACCTGGCCCTAGGACACACCTGTTGCAGCTCCACCTGGCAGACACCCATCCAATGCGTCTTGACTCCAGCAAGCCCCTCTGAAGCAGTCCCTACCCCTCTGCCTTTGGGACATCCCTAAGGGTTCGTCTCTTTCATGGTGGTCTCCCACACTGAGCGGAGGGCCAGGCATGGTGGGGTGGGGCAGGCACGTGGAGCTGAGTGAATGGGAGCTGGGACCAGAGCAGGCTTTGGCTGGGCGTCAGACCCAACTCCCACTGACCCACTGTGACACCTCCCTCCAGGTCACAGTTTCCCCTAAACATCCTATGGGGATTTAGACTTGAACACCCTTGCTTCTCTCCAGTTTCACACTCACAGAAAATTGCTCTCCTCTTCCACGATCCCCTGTTGAATTCCTGGGGGCTGCTTTGGGGGTGGGACAGGTGAAGAGGGGAAGCAATGTCTCTTGGGTCATTGGCTACTCTAGGTCCCTTCTGGACAGATCATACCTAGTTATTCTTTGGGAGAAGAGCCATATTGACTTCCTCTATGCTTGAATCCAGCATTACTACAACAAACCCTGTCTCTCCCTCTTCACTCGGCCCTGCTGCCCTGTCTTGCCAACCTCACAGCCCACCCACACCTCCGCTAAGGACCAGGTACAGCTTTGGCGCCACCTGCTGGAAGAAAGGAGCAGCACCTCTACATTTCAAAGAAGAAATTCCAGATCCGCCATGGATTCCATGGATCCGAACAGATATTTACAATGAGTCTACTATATGCCATACACCAACTAGGCTCTGAGGATAAAGTGGTGAACAAAATAGAGCTTACATTCTCGGTGGAGATCAATGATAAATAAATAATTTATATCGTAATAAGCATCATGAAAGAAGCGAGGAGATGTGATGGAGGGAACTGGTACGGAGCTACTTTTAAGTGCTCAGGAAAGAATGTCCTGAGAAAGTAACATTTGACCGGGCACAGTGGCTCGTGCCTGTAATCCTAGCACTTTGGGAGGCTGAGGTGGAAGGATCACTTGAGCTCAGGAGTTCGAGACCAGCCTAGGAACATAGCGAGACCTCATCTCTACTAAAAATAAAAAATTTAAAAAAAAAAGAAAAAGAAAAAGAAAGTGACCTTCATGAAAGATGAGAATTAGCCAAATGTGAAGAGAGCTTAGAGAGAAAGCATTGCAAGTAGAGGACACAACGCAGACCCCAAGGCCTCAAAGAGCTTGGAATATTGGAAGGACAGGAAGGAGACCAGTGTGGCCAGAGTGTAGTGAATGAGGCCAGGCACAATTGCTCACACCTGTAATCCCAGCACTTTGGGAAGCTGAGGCAGATGGATCACCTGAGGTCAGGAGTTTAAGACCAGCCTGACCAACATGGTGAAACTCCATCTCTACAAAAAATACAAAATTAGCCAGGCCTGGTGGTGCATGCCTGTAATCCTAGCTACTTGGGCAGGAGAATTGCTTGAACCCGGGAGGCGGAGGTTGCAGTGAGCCGAGATCATGCCATTGCACTCCAGCCTGGGCAACAAGAGTGAAATTCTGTTTCAAAAAAAAAAAAGAAAAGAAAAGAGAGAGTGTATTTCAGGGAGAAGGAACAGCATGTGCTAAAGCCCAGAGGCCAGGGAGATCATGGTGGAGTCAAGGAACAGAAAGGCCAGTGTGGCTGGAGCACAAAGATTGAAGGAATGGGATGCAAGATGAGGCTGAGGATGAAGGCAGAGGCAGATGGTCCACAACATGGCTTTGTGGGTTGTGTTAAGCATTTTGGTCCGTATCCTAAGAGGAGAAGGAGGTCATTGAAGAGTTTTAAGTAGGGAAGCCATATGATAGCTCAAGAGTTTAGAAAGACCTATCAGCTGCTCTGAGGAGAAAGAATTGAAGAAGGTGAAAGGGGAAGCTGGAAGACTAATGAAGAGGCTGTTCATGTAATGTTCCAAGAATGAATGGTACTGATGAGTACAAGATTAGTGGAGGCAGTGGAGATAGAAAAGGACTGATCTGGCAGCTGGTAGGACTGGATATAATTGAGATGGAGAGGGAGATGGGGAGAGAATATGAAAGTGATGTCTATATTTCTTTTTCTTTTCTTTTTTTTTTCACTTTTCTTTTCTTTTCTTTTCTGAGCTGGAGTCTCACTCTGTCGTCAGGCTGGAGTGCAGTGGCACAGTCTTGGCTCACTGCAACCTCTGCCTCTTGGGATCAAGCGATTATTCTGCCTCAGCCTCCCAAGTAGCTGGGACTACAAGTGCGTGCCACCATGCTCAGCTAATTTTTGTATTTTTAGTAGAGAAGA